TCTGAAGAAAACACTTCAATTTAGAGCTTCAGTTTTATTAAGTGTATATGGCAGATTCTTTATTATTTTAAAATTAATTTTAGTTCAAAAATTCTCATGACTTTGCCAAAAATATGGAGAATAGTAATTGTTACTAAACAAAAACACTTTTCAAATTCACTCTGAACACAGAATGAGACGAACCTTTTTTAAGAGTTAATTTTACAAAAAAAAATCATTAAAAGAAAATAACAAGTTTATGAAAGGAAAAGATTGAGAAGTATTGTATCAAATATGTACATCTTGCAAATACATATATACACTCATACACACACATATGGAAGTGTAGAAGTTATTAATACCCTGGGTTTTGTTTTGCAGTCCCAGGCTGTCCAAAGCAAATAAGTAACATATTCTCCGGTATCCACAGAAATTTTTGCTTACATGGACAAAATGCCCATATTTGTCTTTTCTGAATTTTTTAAAATTAAGAAACACAATGAGCAAATGCATTGCAATAAATACAGCATATTTCTGTTTTTTATATTATATTTAGAATAATTTGTTCTCACATGAACCTCAAACCTGACAAGAAACCACTAATGACATTAGTTAGCACTCCAAGGACAGAGGAATCTGAGTTAAAACAATTTACCTGCAGGAGCTCAGGAAGATTCCCCACAGTACACACTTTGACATTCTTCTGTTCAGTTTCCTGACACAATTTTTCTGGATCCCTGCTTTGCAAGTTGTACTTATTTAAATTTTCTTGTTTGCTCTTGGATTCACGCAGATTGTTTGAATACAAACTTGATGTGTAACCTGTGTGTTATAATACACCTCTAAATTTAGCCCTAATATTTTAGGTTTTAGTTTAGATGTATGCCACAATGTTCAATAAATTTTCCTCTTATAAGAATTGTGCTTGTTTTAAAGCACTTTGTACTATCAACAGTGTTAAAAATGCATGATTTTAACATAGCAATGAAAAAAGTTAGAAAACTCTTATATAAGATGGCTGCTTTTGTTCTTGAAATTACTGAGCCAGACTGCCATCTATTGGAAAATAAATATTTTTTAAATTGTACTGTTTTTAAAAAAAAACGAAACTACTCTAGGTTTTTGTCAAAAGCTGATTTTGCTAGCAATAATACTTAAGACAGCTTGATTTTTTAAAAGGACACACCTAAGTTAACTAAACTGTGATACAATCAAGGATTTTCCTACATCTTTTTCCACCTCATGATTTCTGGAACATGTTTCAAAGCACAGCTCCTTTTCTGACCTGCTGAACAATCAAATCCCAGTTATTTGGAGTGAAAGTTTTGTATTTAGCAAACACAGAAAAACTACTATGTCAGGACTGAATGATCCACAAGTATAAAGCTTTCCTAGCTTGCCTGCGCAGCAGCTCTCAGGGCTTTCCATGTCTTTGCATACAGAGGGGAACTAGAGAGTGTATTCAAGTCACAATGACAAAAAAAATGGGAAAAAGAGGCAGACAGGAACTGGGAGTTAAAAAAAAAGAAAATCTATGAATCCACCATCAACCCCACCCCATGTACAAGCCTTTGAGAAAAATGGGCAATTCCAACTAAAATGATGCCTGTGTGTATAAATGCCTTTTTGGAGCTCTCTCTGAAGTAGCATAATAACCCACATTTCCAGCTGCAAAACTATGTTCAATTTGGTCTTTAATTGTGAAGCCAATGAACAGGGGATTGTCATCTGATCTCATAATATACATGTTTTAATGACTGGTGAAGATAGACTAGGAAACATGGAATTAATATTTTACACAACAGCACATCAGAAGTACATTGAAACACAGCTAGAGTTGCAAAAGTCAATCACTGAAATTATAAAGTTTCAAGTGTAGCTTTAACTTGACTTTTAGTTTATTCTTTATAACATAGTCTTCAAATAAAAGATCACGTTAACTTAGCCCTGCTCTCAGAATTGCACTGGTATTTTTCCAGCGGTTGTAAAATCCAGAAAGAATACTGGAGGGGGAACAACAGGCTGATGCTCAGTCCTTTCATGTGGAAGACTACAAAAGTGATGTTAAAACCCACCCTTATGCCACAGAGAGAACTGAACACCACTCTTCCACTTCCCAGATAAAGCCTTTTATTATCAAGTTACTGCATTAAAAATCAGGCAACCCCACTACCCTTACACTACACAGTGAGCCCTGCTCTTTCAAATAAAAGTGGCTGGCACTTAAATTCAGGAGAGAATTCCAGGCTGTGGATCCTAGACAGACAGACACTCCCTTCTGCAGTCCTGAATCAACCAAAACCTTATTTAGCCAGAGCAGTACCACAGGCAATTTGGACCTCTTCAAAAAAGCTTCAAAAAAAGTTGGGTTTCTTTTTTGTTGTTGGGGTTTTTTTGGTTTTTTTTTTTTGTTTTAAAGAAAAAAAAACTTTGAAATACACTCTGCTTCCTGATGCTTTCTCTTTCATATGCCCATGCTATCCTCAGGAGGTGGCTCCTGATGCTCCTTGCTCCAACTTACTAAGTTTTTGACCCATGAGCTATAATTCCAAACAGAAATTCCCATATCTTGGTCTCCTATTTCTCTGAACAATAGCATGATGCAAAAAATGCAGATGTCTCCTAGCAGTCAGTTCCTTTGCAGAACCTCTCTAAGGGTCACAAAGTGTCATGACTTGGGGTTTTGGAACCTGTTCAGATCACTGGACTACAGGAGAAGTTGAAAAGCCTGCACCAGACGTTGTCTCTGGAACCAACATTTGTCAGGGAAATGGCATCACCTGACACATTACCAACAGGGACCCGACTCCTACACCTCCTCAGAGCTGACACTGGCACAGTCAGCAATGAAAATTAGGGGAAAAACTGCTGATTTGAACCTGAAGTGCTTGCTTGTAGAGGCACACCAGGCGCAGTTCCAGTCCTGTGCCAGAGCTGGTAACAGAGAGAGACAACACTGGGTCCTGCAGGGACAAAGAGCCTGTGCTCCAGTGTCACCACACACCATGCTGCCCCAGCTTCCAGAGGGTCTTGGCATGTGCAGCAGCAATGAATGTGAGCTGAATGAATGCAGACAAGAGAAGACCCTGCTTACCCTACTGAGACTTTTATGGAAGCTTCCCAGGGCTTCAGAAGAAGCTGCAGGAATTTTTCTCTTCTTTAATACATACCCAAGGAATCTATTTCTGACTCTCCATATCTATATATGTCTCCACATCTCTGTCTCTCCATGTTCTTGTACATAAATATTCATTTAAGTTTCTTCAATCATCACCCTACTGTCACACTTCTATCACCATGCTCGCTGGTCCTGCCCCCAGAGTAGTTTGGCAGCATTCACCATTGCACCCATTTTCAGAGCTCAGCAGAACTCTTCATTTTAGTGCTTCTTCCCGATTACTCTTTGATGTCTCCTTACAGCACGTGCACGTTTTCGTGTCACCCGTGCACTGTACAGGGAGTCTACACACCAAGGGAAAGCAGCACTTCCCTGAAACTAAAAGACAGCATGTCAAAACTGGGAACAATTTCCTTTTTTTGATGCAAGGCAGCCAGGTAGCAACTGAACAGACTGAGTGACCTTAAAATACCTTAAAAAAACCAAAATGGATGTTTTAGATCAAACAGGAAAATCCCACATCACAGCAAAGATTCCTCTCCATATAGGCCTGCATAGTTGGGTTTACTCTAGGGGAAAACACACTCTGCCCTCCATCCTGACTTTGTGTTGGGAGTGTATACCCATCATCCTGATTGTAGTTTTCTTTGAAAGAATAGCTGGGTGCACTAGTAGGAGAGCACCGCGACATGCTTTAAACAGTCCCTGTTTTTGAAGATCTGTTTTCACATCTAGTTCAATATATAAATAGATGAAATCTCAAAAACCATATTGCCTAATTTACCTTTGTATTTGCCTGCTGCACATAAATTACAGATTTAGTGTCTGAATACTTCCTATTCCCATTGTATTTTATTTAGGTCTGTAAAAGTTTCAGTCCGAGTAGATAGAATTATATGGATTACATTTTCTGCAAAACAGCAGCTGAGCAGATTTACATAGCAGTTAGCACCTAAATACAGAGAGACACTAGCAATATGTATAAAAATGCCTAAATGGGGTCGCTATCTTGTTCAGACTGACTCAACACGGGTTATGTATCTAATCATTCAAACATCTAGATGGGCTTTACAAAAGGATCTACTGCATTTCAAGGCAGCTAACCATCTTTGTAAATCTCATTCTGCCTACATATATTGTAATAAATCCTCTAGAACATAGAAGTCCTTAACTTGCCTGGTTTTCCCCACATATGAGAGCATAATTTTTCTTAACTTATGAACTACATTAATTGAAATTTAGCACTTAGCATTTTCCCTCTGTTCTGTGCTTTATTCCCTGGGCAATCCCATTTACTTTACTTATTGAGGAAGAGAATTCAATTTAAAAAAAAAAGCCTTGTTACACTGTAAAGAAAAAATGAATCCTAGAGCACTTTAGTCACAGGATTAGTAGTAATGAAGTCCTATTTTCAACTGTAGCTGGAAATCACTGAAGTATCACAACCACAACAATTTTCAGTATGAGAAACTCAGACTACTGGGAAAGCTATGTTGTAATAATAAGAATCATAACTGAAGATGCTTAGCTTCTTTTTGGGGGACGCTTCTGATGACATTCTGCAAGCATTTAGACTTCAGTATAGTAGTAAGCATACTGATTTCAACTAATTTCTCAAAAACCCCTTCCTTGCACTCCCCACACTCAAAAGAACAACTAACCTGAACTTTTGGTCCTATTAGCAGTACCATAAAAAGCCATTCTGAGATGTGGTAAGCAGTATCTTTGTAAAATAATGGGAACATTAAATTCTAAATCTGTAAGGACCACATGTTATCTCATTTTTTTCTATTATAATGTTAGACTTGTACTATTCTTACTCTTGTACTATTTCTTTCTTGAATGTGCCATAAGTAAAGCAGATATAACTGAATATATTGTCTTTGTATCCCATCTTACTTACTACATTAAGCTTGGTTTGGCTTCCACTGGTCATAAGTTCTTCCTCTGATACTTTACTAAAATTGTCCAGATAATGGTCTGATATTGTATGAGACAGATCTTCAAAAGAGTATTCCTTTTCTTGGCACAATTTGATTTCATCTAAGAGCTTTGATAATTCTCCAGTCACAGCTTCACCTTTAAAAACAGACACACCATTAGTCAATAATTAGAATACCAGGGGTAATTTATGCCTAAAAAGGAAATGCACATTCTTTAAATTTTATTGAGTATCTGTTATATTCCATGCCTTATCATCTAAACAGTGATCTTCATGCACAGTTCTCCCCTCAAAAATAATGGCATCTCATTCCAGAATGGGAATCACTGGAGATAATCTACACACTTCTGCATTCCCCTATACCTTGCATTTAATTAGGATTAATTACAATATATACTTACCCCTTCTCTGTTTACTAATCTTGAAAATTGGCTAGAAATAGCAACTATCGAAGAATGTCAAATTAATCCAAGAAAGGAAAGTTTCTACAAACATACAAAATCAGCGTCCCATACTCTGCATTGGGTTCATGTTTGCTGCTGTAATCAATTAATACACTAGATCAGTTCCATAAACCATAAGTAGGTTGGAACGGAATTTCCAAGAATGCACATTTGTCCCATCAAAGTAGCCATGTTTTATAAAGAATTCTTGCTCACTTTTCTGGGATTAAATGGAATGGTGGAAGGATCTACTCCACAAAACCCACAAGTTTAAAACACACCTCACTACAGCAGTCTATCAGAAACCCATGTTTAGTCCATTCTGCATTGTGTTTCATGTTTTCTCCTTAATTTATCAGACATCTTTAGTTAAAAAAAAAATCTACCAGAATAGTAAGAAAATGGGCTTTATACATCTATACTAACTGAGGGCCACTATTAGAAACACTGGTGGTAATAAGGATTAGAATCTCATTGAGTGCTAACTTTTCTGCAAATAGCCCACTGCCAGCAGCAAGACCTCCATAGAGTAAAAAGCTGCTGGTTAGAAATAACTGCATTAGGTTCTGATAATCTATCGTGTGTGTTACACAGCTACCTTCAGTAAGGGCAATGAAAATGAGTGAAAGCCTAGTTTTTCTAAATAAGAAAGCCCTCCTCTTGACTAGGTTTACAGGAGTCCTACTGTTGGAAACTACAGTCCTTAGACTTGATAAAATAGAAAGATAATTCCATTTTACTCCATCTTTGGGAATAAAATGCTGAAAAGGAAAAACAGAGCGAGCATATTAAGCTCAGCATACATATAATGCACATATGTACATTCATGTAACTAAAGCAGCCCCAGATAAGATTCTATCTGCTTGGTCTAGAGCTCTTTTTTGTGTCATTTTTCTTCATAGTCACTGTTTGTTATGCTAGGTAAACATAAATATTTTAAAATATTTTTTAAATTACAACTATGGCCAGTTATGACTGAAATTTTCAGAGCCAGGAACAAAAGCTATTAATTAATAAGCATCTAATTGCCTTTTAATATCCAAGTAACAAAAGTGTTGCACTCAATTCTTGTTACTCTTAGTCAATGGTAACTTTGCATAAAACTTGTAAAATTAAACAAAGATATAATCAGGTTTATTTATATTCTGCTTTTTAATTGGAAATTTGAAATTATTCCATATTATGATAAGTAAAAATTGGAAGCAAATTACCTAAAAATTAAGACCTACTCTAAAATCATGATGCAGTGCCCTGGAAATAAACAGGACTATTGTTTCCTAGACAATTATGTTCATGTCCCCAGTCCCATGTTCTCCCACATACAGCCTGCAATATTTCTTACTGGGCAAGAATGAATTGTGTGGCAAAACTGGAACTGCAAGGGTGCTGACCAACCTGTGAGTAAGTGTATACTAACTGGCGGGCCGATTGCTACCAGAACAAATAAATGAAAGACAAATTTTGCCTATCTCTTTCAGTTCAGGTACTAATTAAGGTCTCTCCTCTATCTAGGTACTTATTTTCCTGAAAGTCACAGAAAGGTAATTGATACTGCTATCCCTCTTCCAAATTTGGTTTAAATTATTTGAAATTAGATTGTGAAAGAATGGCAGACAGATGGATGGGAAGCACAATCAAGTACAATTTCTTTCCTTTAGAATCAGATTACACAGTAGACAAGCAAAAGCCAGCTAGCACGTTTTACAGTATTTATACCTTGAAAGCAGAAACAAACATGAGATCATGCCCTTATCGTTAAGAAGTAAAACATATTTTAAAAATATTTACTACTTAATTTCAGGACGGGTATTTCTATTGCATAGGGTAGTTGACTTCATGATTCTACTAATCTCAAAGGAACTACTTATCTTTTTACACCATATGTCTGTTAAGTACCCCAATGGGAACCATGAATGGAACTAGAGCATTCCTTTACTATCACCATGAAGATCATAATCTGGCATGCAGCAGTAAGCTTGGTTTTCTCATGAATAAAAATTCTCCCTGTAAACATGTTTTAAAAAAAACTGAACACAACACACACACACCCCCCCCAACAAAACCAAAATAGTGAGGCTTAGTTATTTGCCAGCGGTCAATTACATTTACTGTGGATGATTACAGAAGGCAGAAGTCAGGTTTGGTTCTACAGAAGGATGATTTTCATGGAAGAGCAGGACAACATCCCACTCAGGAAGCACCCTACGCGAGTGGCTGTGGTGCATAAAGGGTGACTCAGACCGTAAGATGAAAGTGCATGCACACAACAGCGATAGTCACGGTGTATGAAAGATATGTTATGAGATGAATGGAAGAGCAGTACACACATGATCTTTGAAAGAGGCATCCAAATGTAACACAGTTGGAAGAGGTACTCACTGGGAAAGATAAAGGAAACAATCTTTAACTTGAATGTGAACAATGCCTGCAGAGTATTTTGACACATCTATTATCTTGGTTTACTTCATTATGAAGTGTGTAAGGTCAGATAAATTAAAAAGACTTAAGATCACATGATGTAATACATCATAATCCATCAGTGACTTCTCTGAGGATACAGTTCTTTGCTTTCCTATATGACATGGATTACAGTGTATATAGTCAAGATAGGTAATTCATGACGGAAAAAAGCTTCTCAGTATCAATAACTTCCTTAACATCTCTTTTTCATTTTGTATGTTTGTATGAATGTGTCAGCAATGTAATTTTAATATTAAAGAGAAGTTCAGTACAGCTTCTGTATTCACAGAGTACATGTATTTACTTTTAGCCTTTGGAGACGGAGGAACTTCTGGGGACAAAATGCAAGACTGATGTTCTGCACATTCCAGTGGGCGTTCCTCTGAAACACTTGCATTTCCCGTTTCCATATATTCTGCAATTTAAAGATACACATACACTTAAACTCCTGAATTAAGGGGGTTTATTCCAATCAAAAGTATATTTGCTACTTCATTTTTCATTAAAGCCTTTCCAGTTTTTCATATTACAACCTTGTAATTATTCATAAACACTGCTGCAAGGCAATCATTTATTGGAAGTATTATAAAACACTAAAATGGCTAATTCTTTAATCTGCTGAAACTGTTACAGAAATCTCATTGTAGGAGTAATGGGTTGTGACTATCTCTGTGTTTTTCCTGTCCCCTTGAAATATCTGTGTAACTGTTCCATTATATTATTACCATTGAAAGACTCTTTTGTTCTAAATTTGTGAAGAGTTCTTGGACAAGATATTCAGGATATTCAAAATAAGTAGATATACTGATACTGTTAAGAAAACTAAATATTCTGCTTGCAGCACAGAGCAAGTGTATGAGAAAAAAAGAATGCAAACTCAAAAATTTAGTTAAAACCAGCAGTCTAAAAAGCAGAGTTCCAAAATGTTTGTGCTTTTCCTCCTTAAAACTTCCCTTGTCCCACCTTCATGCTGATGTTTATAAAAACAGAAAAACGTGGAATGCTGAATGTGCTAAACTTCAGTTTCATTACTATTATTTTTGTGTAACTATATACATTATTTTCGCATGCTTTTCTACACAGGCTATCTCAATGGGACACCAAAACCTTAATGAATGTTATTGTAGGACAAATATTTAAATAATAAATTAGAAATTAATTTATGCAATAGTGGTGCTTTTTTTCCAGCAGAGTGACTGCTTCTCAGTTCAGGCAGTTATTCTGCATCTGCATTTTCTTGATTTTCTGAGGCTGCTGAAACAAGTTCTTTCTGATACCAGATAGTAACCACAACAGCACATGTTACAAGACACATAAAAGCAAACTAAAATAACTGCTCTCATCAATATCAAACTGAAAGACTGAAGAGTTTCTGGGAAGTGAAATCTCTCCGATTTAATTTCTACAGTCTACAATGCACTTGGTTAGCTTGCTGTTATTCCTGATTAAATGACAAATCCCAAACCCCAAATACAATCTGTGATAAAATAGACATCTGAGAAAATTAAAATGGAAATGGCAGAGAACAGCATGCAGTTTCAGAATGCTTTGCAGGTTGTTGGGGGTTTTTTAAAGAATGTATGATTTGAAAGTGTCATATATTAAGTTTGATAGTTGGCAATGGTCCCCTGGATAACCTGTCATACATTTCTTCATATGAAAGTGGGCATTTCTATTTTGCATGTGTAGCACTGAAAACAAAGAAGAGCTGTAAGAGGCCATGAGAAAACCAGCAGCGTGACAAAATTCTCTGGTATGTTTTCCAGCTCTGCCAGCTATATTATTTGTCAAGTTAATGTGCAAGATGGAGGAGAAACAAAAAGGAAGCTAGACCCAAAGAAAAATAAAAGGAAAAAAGCAATTCGTGCCTGAAAATATTTGCTTGATAATTGTGCAACCATCCAAAAGCAAACCTAAAATGAAATTCTACCAGGTTGGAGTGTTAAAATTATTAGATCAATACAGATATTATTAGGAAAGGAAATGCAGGGGGGATTGCAAAGGACTGACTTTGCTGTCCAATATCATTTAAGACTGTGGTTTTAAAATAACACTCCATTTTTATTCTTTGTCAGGCCCCACTTTCAGACCAATGCACTTACCTGCTAAAGGCTAGTTCTGAGAAGGAAATCCCAAGTTCAACCTAAGTCTCAAATACTTACTTTAAAAATTGCAGAGTTCCTTCCAGAAAACCTCTACAAAAGGCTTAGCACAAGGTATGGTGTAGAGGTTTAGAAAGGGCCAGCAGGATGCAACCCTTAAAACTTAGACTTCTGTGGGACTTCTACCCTTAACTTGGTTTTATACTATTGAAAATTCTATCATATATGTACAAGACAAATAAAGACATGGGCTCAGTTGCGAGAGGCTTATAGTCTAGGTAAATGCATACTAACACACAATATTATCAAAGAAACAGATGCAAAACAGGTGATCTGTGTCTGGAGCCAAAGGCAAAGTACACACAAGCCCTGGATGCTTTCATCAACAACCAAATTCTATCCACCTGCAGCTGGCTAGAAATTCACCTTCAAAGCCTGCCCAAACTTATTGAAAAAGATGTACACTGTAGGCAGAGCAGGTGATGGTGTCAGTGACTTGAGAGACTGCTCTGGATTCTATCCCTTTCCTCAAAAAAGGAAAGATAATTTAGAACAAAGCCAAGCATAGTCAATTATACCACTTAATGACCAGCACAGTTTCCCCAGCTGTGGTCCCACAGAGTTTAGAGAAAAGCCTATCATTCTCACAATTGGGGAGAATAAAGGCTATTTGGGACACAACCAGATTCATAATGCTTCCTTCACCAGCTTACTGTCACCCTGGTCCGTGTTTCACAGCCAGCCAGCATGACTAGCATGGAGGGGGTGAAGGAAGCATAGGTTAATACATGCTTCGGAGATGTTGCCTCACCATACTGCTTCGGGAAGAATGGAGTGGTTTACTTCGACTCAAATAGCACATTACAGTTCAGTAAAGGATTAATACTAGGAATCTCAAAAACTTTGCCTGCTTAATAGCATTCTTTCCTACAGTTACCTGATTTTACCATAGCCCCACTCAATCTAAACAACACACAAAAAGTGATAGCATGAAAGTGGTCACACAACAGCAGAAATAAGAGCAGTGAGGAACACGAACCCCAGAAGATAACAAGCACTGGAGAGTTTGAGCAGCTGGAACTGCAGCTTTTGCAGCTTCTGTGACACCGGTTAGGTCAAAGCCGAGCAGAAGGAAAAGCATTTGCACATAAGTGGGGCAGCACGGCTGCCTCCCAGCAGAACGGCCAGAGCAGGGAAGGTCAGCCATGAAGAGAACACAACCCAGCTCAGCTGGAGCTGCTGTTGAACTTCCAGGAACAGTAAAAGCTCAGGCTGCAGAGCACAGCTTGCTTTAACTTCAGCTCCTCTAGCTCCTAATTCCTCAGCGAAGTGAGAGGGTCAAGATTTTTGCTTTATTTATAAGCCTTGGCTTTTAGAGTAATGGCTACATTAGCATCAGAGAACTTTTTACTTTTCCTTTTAATGGAAAAAAAGACAAACCCAAACAACTTTTTTTTTTTTTAAATGAAATACCAGCTCCTTTCCCTTTGTTTTTGGGGCCTACTTTGGCCATACCATGGGGTGGATTCTCATAGAGTTCCTCCCTAGAGTGACTTCCCCTAAAGAGACCAAAAAGGCTTTTTAAACTCTAAAAAAGCCAAAAGTGATTAGAATAAATCTGAACACTCACCTTTTCAACCAGAAGGCTCTCCAAGTAACTAGATGGGAGGAATAAAACTGGTTTAGAAACCACTCCCCTCCACTGCCAATGTCCCTGCAGGGGCATCCTTCTTCTCCTTCCCTCCGTGTCTTCCTGAAGGGCACCCGCATCCAGAGCGCCCTCTGCCCTCCCAAGGGCTCTCCCAGACCCTGGCTGAGGATCCTGCAGCTCACAGCTACTGAGTCCTACCCCAGCCTAAGAGCTCCCCAAAAAGCTCCACCCAAACCAGCTCATTTGCTCCCCTGACAATGAGCCCACCTGAGACTTGGTAACCCAATTCCTCTTTATAGCAGCAGCAGTTACCAAAAACGACTGGCAGCTGCTACCATCAGGTGTGCTAAGGTGACAAACGAGCTGAGATGGAGGCTGGGCTGACTTCAGTATCCTAAATTTTGGAGGACAATTCTGGATGACTCAGGTTTAACTTAATCCCAGAGAAACCTGAAATCAGTAAATGTTTAAGTTATAGGCACATAAGAAGACTTTTGTGCACGTTTAGGGAAGATAAATGGAAACCAGCACTCGAGTACTGCTATGATCCTGAGATAGGTAAGGGCGCAGCTAAACTTTCAGTCCCCAAAACAACAGCAGTTAAATTACTTCATAAACATAGTTAATACTCTACAGCTTTTGCACTACAGCCTATAAAAAGAGCTGAGAAGTCCCTAGGAAAAAAACAAAACAAAACAAAAACAAAACAACAAAGGGGGATTGAGATCCCAATTCTTTTCATCCCGCACAGCTGTAATTAAATCCTTGACTGGAAACCTATTCCATCTTTCCAGTGGGGCTGGCCTCCTGCACTCAAGGGAATGGAAGATCTACTTGTCCAAAGAGAGGGAGAGAGAGTGAGAATACAAGCAAGCAAGCCAGTGCTAATAACACCAAAGCTATTTAAGTAGAGGGGAGGAGAAAGGAGTCCTGGTTCTGCAGCTGCTTATGCATTTTCCATTTATGAATAATTCGGTAACATGTACAAACAATGTTAGGTTGTTAAGCAGCTTCAGCAGAAGAGAGAGGAAACAGCTTTCCACTACATCTCCCTCCATACTGTCTATGCAGCAGAGCTTATTGTGCCTTCCTGGGGCTCGTGTCATTTTTCATCTGTTTATCTACTAACTCCTTTTTCTCATAATAACAAGAATTCTGCTTCCAGAAATAGTAAAAGAGCAAGATTCTAACAGAGAGCATAGTGGGCTGTGGAGAAAGAGTTGAAAGATGGTATAGCATGCACCTGCGTCACGTTCACATGTGCTAAAACTAAAACACAGCTGGTCGGTTTAATTTTAGGCCTACTAGCCTTGGCAACATCCCTTTTATCTTCAATGCCTAATTATAAAGCCCTAAGTGCCAATACTGTTAACTGCTTCAGCACTGAATGCCGTTGTTTCACTACATCCATGAAATGCATCCCGTAGACTGGCCTTACTTGGCACAGTATTCTCATTTTCCGCTTTTTGAGTACATAATGCCTAAACAGCTATTTCTCCATTACCACAATGAGAATCTAAACTGTAATAAGTATTTTTAATTGAGAACAATGCAACTCAGACCTGAGCAAGACACAGAAAATGATGGGACATATATGAAAGAAAAAGAATTAAAACTTGAACTGTCATTTCTAATAATTCCATCTCTAATTAACAGGCAGTAAAAAAAATTCAGGCGGTGTATAGCTTACTCAGCCTTTTTCAGGTTGCTCTTTAAAGTGATCTTTCTATTTATTTTACTTCTATCAGATAACATGCCAAAATCTCCAAAAAGATGGCAGACTTTGCAAACACACAAAAAAAATATTTTTGCAGAAACGTCAATTACTATTTTCTCAGGATAGGGAGAAAAGATGTAAAAATCACAAAAACACTAGGATTACTTCTAAATCCTCACTGCAAAAAGTTGTTTCTTCTTAACCTATAATCTGTAAAAAGTAGTTTTGTAAATATTCTTAAAAACAGGGAGAAAACCAACAGAAACTTCTATCCACAATTCTTAAAATCTGGAGGCCTCATTCACAGGAGGCTACTCATCCTGTAGATTTTGGTATCAGCTGAACACATTTAGTATTACTGCCTCCATGAACTGCTTCTAAAGACAGAAATTACTTTCTTCACCTTCAAAGAAGTTTCTCATAAATATCCTCAAAACCAAGTCATTTTCTTTCAAAACTTTTCTTACAACTCCATTACCCCTCTGCGTATAGGACAGAACACTACCTATCAGGCCCACCAGTAATACCGGTCACGTTATTTCCTTGTCTAGTTCTGCCAGTCTATTTAAATATATCCTTCAGTCTTTGTTTTATATTTTGAAAGCTAATGACTTGTGGCAGGGACAAATATTATGCTATGTTAGTACTATAAACTGCGCAAAAACACTCATAACAATGCAAGGAGGAAATGGTAAAAATTAATGAGAATGCTAGGTGATAAAATCTTACTCTACCCTGGCAACAAGGTGAAAGAATCAATTCAATGCCATTGTGTCTGCATAAAGAAAAAAATTAGGAAGAAACTTAGAAAATGTGGTCGGTAATTGTCTGACACCATTAATGTACTTTCTTTTTCCTGTGAGTCTACATGAAGGCGACATGTAAGCTCCTCTAGACAACCATTTGAAGATAGCAGCTTTACCAGGAATGTATTTGGAAGCCACTGACTCTCTCTCAGCAATTGCCCTTTCTTTGCATGGAATTCATTACCCACTAAAGTCGAACTCAATTACAGTACATTCGGGTTTCCCAAAATCCCAGTGCTTCACTGATTTTTCAGCTACAACAGGATAAATGCTCACACTTCAGTGAAGAGTATACTCAGCTGGCTTTTTAGAAGAGAGTAGGTCTACTGTATCATCAGCAGTGCTAGTACTGAATCCTGTCACTCCTGATTTTATTTTTCAACTTCAGCTCACAGTTCAAACTTTATCTTTGATGGTTAAAACTTCAGTGAACCCTCTGCTGATGAAGAAGAATCTCAGCTGGTTTCACAAGGGAGCTCTGAAGGGACTCCTCAGGTTTTCTTAAGACTCAGAATGACATTTCTGTAAACATTTTTTGTCCTTGCCCATCACTTCTAACTATAAGGCAGACAGAGCAAAATTATACAGCTGCTCATTACAAGCACAGTTTCATCATACTAATATGAGCTGAAACTACTAAGCAGTCATCTTTATATTTTCAAGGCACACATGTGAAAAAGATTGCATGTTGAAGCACCAAAAAGCCTTGAAATTGATATATTTCCTTTTTGTGGTAAAAACTAAGGGCAAGTACTGATCCATCAACATGACAAACCCTTGAGAGGGGTTTGGGTGCTCTATTTTTCATAGAGCAAGGGTACTTTGAAGAAAATTTGTTCATCAATGGGGTTCAGACTGCAAGGTTATCACACTAAGGAGAAAAATGAAACAATACAGAGATACTAAAATGAAAATTAGTTTAGTTGGTGAATGGACATTACAATGAATCTTAGATTAATATCTGAAGGATGATTGATTTGGGTGTCTAACAAAGTGTAAGCTCTGACTGACCCTTTTCCTGCCACTGAAGAAGTTTAAGTATGATATTAATCCTCTTTTCCTCTGCATAGTGGTATGTTCACGCTGCAGCTCAGTGAGGACATAAAGGTCAAGGTTTCGCCATACAGTCTGAGTCAAATTAGGAACTCCCTTCTGCTGATAGGGGGAAGTCCGACTCCCCTCACCCATATCTTCCTCCCCACTTTTTGATGCACATTTCTGCCAGTTACCTGGGATAGAGCTAACTCTGGGACCTGAATCACATAGGAGGCAAGTTCATTAAAACAAGCAAATGTATATTTATATAATTATAATCTTATTTTTATTATTGTTACATACTATTAAATATAAGTAATACAATAAATTACATATTTTATATATTACTGGTTCGCAAACTGAATCAGATCACTTTGCAGTCTCCTGTAAGCAGGGAATATGAAAGAGAACTGTGTAGCTGGAAGTAGGGGAGGAAGAAGGGGGGGAATGGGAGAAAGGGAAAAAGAAAATAGGAAGGAGGGAGAGAGGGAGACCTCAAGGCAAGCTGCTAATTCAGTTCAGCTATAACACGAATCTGCTACTTAAGAGAACACCTCTCCTCCAGCCTGCAAAATTTTTCTTATACTTACAGGAGCTTTGTATCTTCAGTCCATCATCTCACTGGAAAACTTTACTGAAGCTGGCTAACAAGTTTGGAAGTTATTCAGAAAGAAAACCTAAAGGACACAATGTGGCCACATGACCTCATTTTCTCTAGGAAATGTTCTTATGACATAGAGTTATGCGGGAGACTGAAGCATAAGCTAATTCATATGTAGAACCAACACCAAACTGATTAAAATGCCTTATTTAAAGATGGGAATAATCAACACAGGTGGAGATGCAGTAATGGTACCCGCAGGGAACTCCTCTGTCAAACACAGTTAATGAAAAACTAATCTGAAAATGCAGGGAACAAATTCCATAGAAGAGAAGGAATGATATTTAACACTGAGTTACATACTAGCTAATGTTTCATCACTTTACTGCCATCTTCTAGAGTAAAAAATTGAAGTAAACAATGGAGTTCCATCAGTCTTACACCATGAAAGTAAGATGAGGAATGAGAACAAACATATGTACAACAAAATTATATTATTTCTGCTATAATGACAAGAATTACTGCCTGGTTTAATTTTTTTTTAAATTTAAGGAAAATGAGAAAAATGCAATGAAATGTTTGAAAAATCTGTCATCATCTTTCAGTCATAGTTGTTATTTATGAACAAATCAAGCAATTTCAATTGTAGTTTACCATCACAATTTAATGGAACTGCAGTGAAATATTACAATATGTTATTTCATAACGAAGAATGTACAAAGAGTAACTATAAGTGACACACCATGCTAATGGCTATTGTCCGAAAAGAAGAAAGGGTTTAGTCTGAAACTCAGATATTCAACCACTTATTTTTGTGTATCTAGCAAACAAGAATTTTGTCTTTTTAATTCAAAAGACTACTCTTTTATATAATGAAATATTTAAAGAGTAGAAATTACTATGTATCTTAATATTCCTCCATGCTATTCTGATTTGTCTCTAACAAATGTATAACTGAATACGACTTGACTTACCCTGAAGTAGAGCCGCAATTTGGAGTGACTGCTGAGATGGATGCTCTTTAAGAATATCTAAAACGGTTCTACCCAAACTGTCCTTTATGTTGGTATCAATTCCTGAAAAAGAAAATTATCTGTGGTGGAATTTTTAACCCCAAGTACTTCGGATTATAAATGTGGTATATCAGACTCAATTATCTGGCAAATTGAATGCAAGCGGTTTTACAACTGTAGCAGATTAACAGCTGTGTTCTAGCTGAAGTACAGCATCCATTTCTGTTTAAAGCTTGAGTAGCCTAAAATTCACATGCTGACATGGATTGGTTTTATGTTTCTGTAACTCATGGGGATATAAAGTAAGCTTCTTAAACCAAACTTGGGATTATTTTAACAGACTGTTCCTAAGAAACAGGCATCCTGAAAATAATATTTTATAAAATCAAGAAATTCTCTGAATGTTTTTCGTACATTCCTGGATTCTAATTCCCCCCAAACTGCTCTGATTCATTGGTGATTTTCTAGTCAACAGTACCAGTATGTGTTCTGGGAGCAATACTGGAAAAGTTATTAACCTTAGAAGTTTTGTGCTTCATGTCAACATGTTTGAAATTCATGCTCTGAGTAGACTGAAATACCCATATGTAGCATAAGGGCTCTGTGAACAGCCAGAGCATTTCCTCACAGACTGCTCAGACTGTTGACAAAGTAATTGTTTGGCTCGAACCGTGAACGTAACCATAAATACGTTTGAGGCTTATCCTGGATAGGTCTCAGAGAACCTGTTGTACATGACTCTCCACCTTTGTCTTGTAGGGGCTGCACTGGAAATGTTTGCCTTATGCAGTTGGTTTTAGTTTAGATGTACTTTCATAAAAAGTAAAGGCACGAAAGGTCCTAATAAACAGAATGAGATTCTTCTCGGGACACTGAATAGAGGAAATCAGAGGAAGCAGGATTTATAAGGACATTCTGGAAGCAGTGGCAGCTGATTTTCAGAGGCCAGGCACACCAACTTACATCTTCCCTTTGCAGTAGCTACTTATAACATCTTCTGAGTCTTTTTTAAAGCAGAACTAGGGAAAAGGGGATTGTTAGATAAAAAAGGCAGAAGGTGGGGAGTGTTGCAGAAGTGCAGAGCATTTGGGGTTGAAGGATTTCACAGGGAAGATTCTGCTCCACTGTCGTACAATTGTATGCTGGCAGAGGCTGTAATGTGTACTGTCTGTAAGAGGTATTCTTCATCTGTGGTCTAAGGGCTTCCTATCTTTGTGTGATGTTCTCCAGTCCTTCCTCTGTTAGATGAATTAATATAAAAAGGCCCTGTCTTTTTCAGGGCAGGTGAAGATCCCTTTCTTCCTCCTTCTTATTCATCCAAACAGGAAAGCATCTTGGACAGACCTTTTTTCCTGAAAACAGATGTTAGGTCAGGTATGCACTAGCTGAGATTCAGACGAGGAGCTGTGAGTAAGACATACTTTCTTTTGCAATATATAACCCCACAAGCACTGACAATAAAGATCAATGAAATCCCTCAGTGTAATGGAAGTTCACATATCTCAGAGAAATAATTTCTAGTATTTTCATTTTCATTGGTCTTCTCATTTATGTGAGAAGACAGTTGTTTAGATGAGTAATTTACCTGCAACAATTCTGAAACTTTTATGTAGTAGACGGGTTTGTAGGGACTCTATCTATATCCCTGTTCTCTTGTCCTTTCAGGACAAATGCAATTCTCGGAGACACAGTGCCTTCCCCTTTCTTCACAGGCACTCAAAGTTTATCCAGGAAATGAAGGAGCAAGCAGGGTGGTATGTTTGTTAGGAATAGCTAAGTGAAGGAAATAAATGTGAACATGAGTCTTCTGGCCTCTAGATCAAAGAATATTCTTGGCTGTCTTTCAGAGTGAATAGTAAAATTTTATATAGCCATTTTGTCCTCAGAATACATTTATTTTCAGAATACAGTGGCATACACTGAGTCATATATGGAATTTCTGAGTCTTAGTGAAAACATCCCTTTTGTTCTCTGTGTATAGTAATTTCTTATTCTAAAAGAACACTATTTTAAAGGAGAGGTATACGTGATTAGATTTGCAAAGGCTGAGAAAGATAACTGTAATTTGTATAATCAAAACTTGAGGAGGCATACACCAGATTAGGAATATTAAGTATATTTGTTCAGTGTTTTCTGTAAATCAGATTTACCTGTTTCAAGTAAAATGCGTACTACCTCCACTTTTCCAAATAGGGCTGCTTCATGTAGCGCACTCCCTTTTTCCGTCTAGAAAAAAAAATATTATGACATTTAAAATGCAAATTAAAATACCAATAAATCCTTTTGAAAAGAATACATTTAGAAAAGAAGTATTTCTTTTTTCCCCTCTATTTTATCTACACATAAAAAACATTGAATGGGCAAGAACAAATACTACCATAATTTTTTTTTTAATTATTCAAGATAACAACAAAAATGCTGTCAGTTCTACGATGAAAATTAATAACTATGTAAGAAAATATAGTAGGGGTGTAATACAACTCCCAATTAACAAGCCTGCATTTGTGTAAAATTTCTAAACTCTATTATAGGCAGTGAAAATCTAGTCAATACCGTCAGTGGAACATAGCTTTTCAGCAGAGTCAGCAAGTTTACTTGTGGACATCTACACTTCGGTGTTTTAATCTGAAACTCTATCATACCCTAGAAGGTCAATTCAGTTGCATGGTGAGAGATGCCCTAGGATATCCCACCTGGCCTCCAGCTGATGTTCCAGTTGATGGTCACATTTGATCTGCATCGTATCTGCCCCATACAGATGTCTTGGATACCCTAAGGCACCTCCAACAGCGTTAGATGCCTATGTTCAGATCGTTTCAATTCTACCTTACATGTCTGTGAACCTGATTTTGCAGATTTCTGTGACACAAAATTCTTTGTGAATGGCCTTTTGCTCAAACAAAATTCACAATACTGAAAACCAAACTACCTCTCTTAACAAGCTACTTTTCTTAGTATTTTATACTGCTGACTGTTACTGAAAAATCTGAACAGAATGCCTTTCCATACAATAGCATTAGCACTAGCTAAAGCACTACTGGATCTCACTGAATCTCTGGCCCATCTCCATTTTTGATAGTAAATTAGATTTTGAGTGGGTTTTATTTGTGGGCACATGTTAAAGGTTTTCCTGCTTGAATTTTTTTTTCTATATTTTATCCAAATGCACCATTGTCATGCTTGCTATGGTGGAAAGACTTTAAAGAAACACAAAACAATTAACTTTGAAATAAAATAGTGATTCATTATTTATTAGTCATATCAGAATGCACCAGTGTTACAGCGATGCAATGACAGAATATTTAGAAGTAATCAGAGATCCTGAGATGGGATGTGAGAACACAGTAAGTGTATATACGTCCTACCAGTTGAGCCTAAAAACTCTTTGTTATGCCCATAACAGGAACACTCACTTTTTACCTTTCTTCACACTTAGTACATGGATGTATAAAGTAGAGCATGCCCAATGTCATTTACCTCCAGCACATCAGGTGTACTAACAGTATAACGGAGAGGAGAAGGAAGTCAGTAAGAGAATATACATATGAAAAACATATCTCAAAACAATTTCTAATCTTTCTATTTTCAGAAGCAATCCAGATGAACATTCATAGACTTATTCTGAACAAGAAGACTACATATTCAGATTTACTTAGAGATGGTTTCAGAATCCTTTACTCAAACAATATCTACAAGAGTTTTCCAGTAACTGCAATTGACTTTAACACTGGACAACTCCGCAAGGACATAGTGCAACCGCAGAGGTACGTGCAGAGCTTAAGGTGCAGCTCAGAAATTTCTGGGAATTAAAACAGTTCTCAGAAAAGTCGCTGATAGCTATAGTTCTGATTACTGAAAAAGGCTTGACATCAGCAATCTTGAAAAAGGCTTTGATGCAGCCTATTGTCCTCTTTGGCATTTGAGTGGATATGGCATTTCCTTTGGATTGGTCACTTACTGACAGGAATAAATCTCAAGACTATTGAGTTGACCTGGTACTATTATCACAGAGTTCCCTGTGAAGTCCAGCTTTGACTCCCAAAATATTTGTCTTTGGAAAGACAGGTGGTGAAATTCAAATGCCACAATGGGGAGAAGTTTGGCACAGTAACCTGCCAGAGAAGAACACCAAAACACGGACTCAATCACAGATGATCACTCACTGTTTTGAGAAAAGAGGAATGTCTCTCTCATACTTGAACATAGTCATTACAGTTAAACATATACTGTCATATCTGAACATACGCCAGCAACGTGTCCTTGCAGCAGAAAAGCTAACGATGTCCTGGGCTGCCCGAGGAGGAGTGTTGCCAGCAGGTCGAGGGAGGTGACTTTCCCTGCGGTTCACCACTGGTGAGGCCACACCTGCCAGTACACTGCCCAGTTCTGGGCTCCCCAGTACAAGAGAGATCCAGAGCTACTGGAGAGAGTCCCTAAGATGATTAAGAGAGTGGAGCATCTCTCCTATGAGGAAAGGCTGAGACTGTTTAGCCTAGACAAGAGAAGGCTCATGGGGGATCTCATCAACGTGTACAAATAGCTGAAAGGAGGGTGTAAAGAAGACTGAGTGAGGCTCAGTGGTGTCCAGTGACAGAAGAGGTAATGGGGAAAACCTGAAACACAGGAGGTTCTGTTTGAACATAAGGAAACATTTTTTGCCATGCAGGTGACTGAGCCCTGGTGCAGGTTGCCCAGGAAGGTTGTAGAGTCTCAATCCTTGGAGAAATTCAAAGGCTGTCCGGACATGGTCCTGGGCAATCTCTTCTAGGTGACCCTGCTTGAACAGGGGGGTTGGACCAGATGACTTCCAGAGTTCCCTTCCAACCTCAGCGCCTTCTGTGATTCTGCCAGGGATAATAATGAGTGATGTATACACCAACAAAGAAATCCACAGAGGTTCAAATGTTAGAGGAGACCTGAGCACTAAAATTTAGTCCTAATGAGGATAAACTGCAGAGATGGGAAGCAGCTGCACCTTGACTAAAACTGGAGATCATTCTGTACTAATATTAATAAGGAATGGACATACTTTAGTGACAACAGCTATCTAGAATCCATTGCTGTGGCGTGATCTGAGACTGAGAAAGATTAATGTTCCAGCATGCTGAATCAACAGCTTTGAGGACAAAGAAGAGGATCTATCTTCAGCCTCCTCAGTTAAGGGGTGAAAAAGATCCTGATATGGTAATTGTCAGAACTGGCAGCCATCCTTTCTATTGATCAAAATTCCCCACTGGAGGAAAGGCAAGTAATATTTTCCTTGATGAAAGCATATATCTCATAAGAAATGGAATGAAAACTAACACGAGAAGAGGAAATTTCCTGTAGATGTCTGAGGCAAACAAATCTATTTGGGGGCAACTTGAGAGTCAGAAGATAGTTCTGTAACAATGAACCAAAAGCTCAGCTATGCATAAAGGGAGTAGACTAACTTAAGCCACCTACATAGGTAATTCATAGTGTTGGGAGAGGAATCCAAAGCCAAATGCCAGTTTTTCATTTTATACTTTCTTGCTGCTTTGTCTATTCTGCCATGATATTTCCTGTCATATCTGAACATGATCCTGAAATGCTTTACAGGCACTCTGCACTGCCCTGAATTCTGGGGCAGTCTTTGCTTTACAACTCCAAGCTATCAGACAATGCTAATGAATGCCATATCCCAGAAATGAGATATATATTACAAATAGTCTGTTCAAAAGAGGAATTTGAAAGGCACACCATATAAGCAGTGGAATGATCTGTCCACTATATAGGTGATTTTCTGAGCAAGAGGGGAAATATTACCGTGAAACTGAACTAAAATCAGTCTGGGAATATGGAGATTGAAAACACACTTGTAAAACGCAGATGTGTAATCCTGCATGAGATGTCACGAAGATGAATGCTGATGTAAATCTTAAAAGCCCTAGGCAGGATTTCACGGTAATAGTGAATAACTAACAAGTGAATCAGATCCCTCGACCCAAAAACTGTCCAGAAGGCAGAAATGTCCTTGTTACCAGAGAGTTCAGTTACCAAACTCTATTTTAACAGAGGGAAAGTACTGAGCCTCTGGATGAGCAGGGCCAGGAAGTAGATATGTATCTCTTTGTAGATGTACATGTGGCCTACTACTTGAAGATAGAAATAATGTTGTGGGGTGGTTTGGTTTTTTTCTGGTGCAATAGAGCATGTTACACAAATTGGAAGGATTAAAAAATGTAGTTGCAAATAATTTCTATATATTATTTAAGATGTGTTAGAGTTTTTAGGTAGATCTTTTTCACTTATAACAGTGTACCTATGCACTAATATACCTTTGTTGTCTATAGTACAGCAAGCAAACTTAAAATTTATAGACAATATTCACTGCTTTACTTCCTGAAGCTTTCATTGCCTTGGATGATGTTTTCCTGGCAAAGTGAAGACTACCATTATATTTGGAAATTCTTCCACAGTGATATTTAATGCAAAAAATGCTGGTATTTTTTCATGAACATAGTGATCTAAAGTCTGCTTGAGTTTGCATCAACGGATTATATACTGGTTCCCTGGCATAAGTTTTCTGTATATGAAACATACAGAACTATAGCACAAATTGTGCTAAGTATATAATAAACGAGCCCCTGCCCCAAGCAGCTTACAGCTAAATGCAGGTACAATGTCACAGCTGGACACACAAAGCAAGCAAGGATAGAAGGACATTGTCAGTAGGAACACCAGGATGCACAAATCAACTTGGTGTACAATTTGCAGGCTCACATAAAAGCATCAAGGGTTTCATTAGTTAGAGACTTTTTAACCATGTAAATATGCAAGAGCTTGTAATTAAGTCACTTGGCTAGTCCTTATTCATAGGCAGTTGACTATAGTTTTGATATGGATTTCAGACATAATCTGAAGGACGGAATGGTAGCTTTGCATATTGATTCACGGAATATCCTCCATACATAGTGACAGCAAAAAGGAAGGGGCATAGCTCTTTGCAGAAGAACTACAGTGATAAGCAATGGAAATTGCCATTGTTACTGGAACAGACAGGGAAGGCAAATAAGGATAGATGGAAGTTGGATAAGCAGAAGGGGCCAAGTTTTTAAGGTATTATTTACAATTATAAAGTTACTGATTACATGAAACACACTGAACTGTGCAGTATCTTATTTACTGAGGGCCCAAAATCTATCACTCACCCAAAACCTGTGTATTTTTCATATGTTTCAATTTAAATGAAACCTTCAAAGCATAAAGAGATGAAGCAGATTTGTATTGCCCACTTCTAAATAATTTCAGATTGAAGGATATTGGATAGACCTGGGAAATGAATAAAATGTGTGATTAATTCAGTCAAAAATTAAATGCTGTCTACTATTAGTCCAAATATTTGCTATGATTAAAAGTGCTCAGGGAGTACAGAATAGAAAGATAACATGGTTAAAGTAAACTTCCCATTTAAACAAACAAATATTTACAATTACAGAGTGATAGCAAATAGGCTACTTCTATAATTGTCTCTCAACATTCTGAGAGCTCTTTACTGCTGATAAACTGAATTTATTTAACGTGTATGAATATGTACAATTTTATTTACCATACTTTGTATATTGTTCTTTCCCAATCAGTGATGCAGAGCAATTTAATTAATATTAAAAGAGCTGAGTTCAGTTTTAAGTAACAGGCTGATATTGTATGCTCTGCTCAGTTTAATAAGCTGCCAGTAATCATCAACAAAGAATTTTTCAGAGGTTATAGAAGTAATAAGTTAACAACATGTGCAGAGCCAACTTGTCAATATGCTAAGATGCTGAATGAAATGGAACATATTGATGGAGAATATGTATACCGGTGAGAAAATAAATAAATGATATTTCCTTATGGCAAGTAGGACAAACACAGAAGAAACAATATTGCCCAGTGCAAAAAATAAAATAAATAAAAATAAAATAAAATAAACCATTTGCCTAAGAATAACTCAGAAAAATAATATAAACTACTTAAAACAAATTAGAATTAAAAAAAAAAGAAAAAAATCCTAGCATTTTAGTGTAGATGGCAAACGGAACAACATTTCTAAAAGAATCTCTCATTTCTTAAAAGAAGATTGTACAAAATTTGCAGCCACTATATTTTTTAAAGACCAGCAAAAAAACTTTTGGTATAACTATAGATAGAAATGGCTTAGGAGAATTCACAGTAGTGCTATAATTATCTAGATTATATAAGAGGAAGAACACATTTCATAGAAGTATTGTGTAATATTCAACCCTCATGTAACCCTCGGTTTGTAAGTTGCCATGACAGAGGCTATTTTTCTTCAATTATTCTATTTCTTAAGCATCAATTCAGGCATCAGTTTCTTTCTGACTTTTTCCTCATTCATTTGCTAGAGATATAAGAGAACTTATACATTCAGAAACATCTATTCAAGGGTTCTGTTATATGTTGCTTTAGCATTAAACTTTTCTAAATCACTGAAGATGTAGTAATAGTAAAAGAGACCTGAAACAAAAGAGCTGCTTGTATTAACCTTTGCAAGTGTATCTCTTTCTAGTAAAGAAAACAAAAAACAATTTAAATTGGAACCATAATGATAGGCAAATACACAAGTAGGCAAACTGCAGAAAAAAAAGTGTTTCAGTTTGAAATAGTTTGAAGCAAGTAACAATGCTAACTCAAAAGATACTAGTGCTAATGAAAGTAGCAAAACAGTTTTACCATATTTTCATTTTGAAGGCATTTGAGAATATCCATTTTTAATCTTAAAATATGTTAATATTTTCTGTTTTGCTTTGTTGTTATTTTTAAATCTATCATTTCTTTCCCACTTCACATTCTTTTCCTCAAAAGTTGAAAAACATTACCTTGATGGAAGAATCCAGAAATAACAAAAGTGTATGGAATCCTATATAAAAGGGAATTATCTGTACAAAGGTGTTTGATAAAATGCACCTAAAGCTTAAAATGGTTATAAAACTCAGTCAAAATTTAGGCAAAGATCACAAGATTTATTAAGTCACCTATTGGTAAAGAATGCCTGGATGTGACTCTAAAACAGATGTAATTATGTTTGTTTGGTGGGTTTATCTGAAAATAGATATAAAGCTGAAACAACCTTAATTCAAAGCATATTATATACACCCAGACAGCAAGAAGGCTACTTTAAATCTGAAGACAAAATACACTTTAAACTCAAATACAGTGCTGTCAATCAAATCAAGAGAAATCATAAGACTGAGGAGAGACTTCACACATAACAGAATCAGGGCCTCTGTAGTTAAAAGGCTCAGACACTTTCCACTACAAAGAATTGGACATAAAATTTACTGCTGCTGTACCTTGTATCTGTTCCCATCTACGTCTCTTTTGTTTAGTTACCCCTTTTACACCATTATAACGTACTGTGCATAGAACTAGATGCACCAAACAGCTAACAGGTTGGAGTCAGTAGCTGCAAGAGTGTATTGCTATAGAATTTTCTTTTAGATTTATACAAGTATTTAGAAAAACAGATGTGATGGGTTGACCCTGGCTGGACGCCAGGTGCCCACCAAAGCCGTTCTATCACTCCCCCATCCTCAGCTGGACAGGGGAGAGAAAAATATAACAAAAAGCTTGCGGGTCGAGATAAGGACAGGAGAGATCATTCACTAATTACCATCACGGGCAAAACAGACTCAGCTTAGGTAAAATTAGCTCACTTTTTATTACAAATCAGCCAGAGTAAGGTAAATGAGAAATAAAACGAAATCTCAGAACACCTTCCCTCCACCCCTCCCTTCTTCCCGCGCCCAACTCAA